AATCACTAACAAAAAAAATTGATCTGTAAAATATTAGATTTGTCCAGTAATTGGTAAGGTTTTTTTATATTTAAAAATTTGTTTGACACTGAAAACCTATTATATTATAAAATTTGTAATATCAAAATTCACTATAGAAAGAGTTAACTGTAGTATTAAAATCATTTTTTAAAATTATAAAGACTATTTATTATATGAATTTATTAATAGTAATAAGCTATTTTGTCCTATTATTAATTTTGATAAAAATATTATTTTTAAAGTTTTATATAAAAAAACCTATATATTTATTTAAACTGTTTTTAAAAATATTTATTTAAAATAAATCTGAAGTGATATAAAAAAATATAATTATTATTAATAGTAATAATAAAATAAAATTTTTCTCTATATCTCTATTGCTAAAAACCTCAAATATCTCTTATTTAACTTATAAGTGACATATGTGTTTTTTATAATAACTTAGTTAATATTAATACTAAAAATATAATTTTATTATCATTAGTAGTATTGGCCTTTTGGACTAATACTTTTAGACTATTAGACTATTGGATTAATAGATTTGATCTATTCTAATTCCATTAAAATTTGGACTATTAGACTATAGACTTCATCTAACAAATATAAATTTACATATAATTTTAGTAATATGTTCATAATATTTATTAGAATTTTATTAAATTTATTTATTATTACTTAATATAAAATTTGACAAATAATTAAGTTTCCTTAAACTCTCAATATAAATATCTAGATATTTCTATTTAGAATTTTAATTTCTAGAAAAAATAAGATAATTTAAAATGTTTGTAATATTAATTTTAAGTTTATTGTTATTTGAAAAATCAAGGTCAGGTCAATAGGATCATTCTAGTTGAATGAATTTATTATTAATTATTTAAGCAGAATGATTTTATTATTATTCAATTTTTTAAGTTAAACTAGTATTATAAATTTGACTAGAATTATAGTATATATAAAATTATAATTTGGCTAAAATTATATAATCATAGTCCATTTGCATTGGAATTAGACTGGACATCTCCATTAGATCTAAAGTCTATTAGTCTATTATTAGAAATTGGATAAAATCCAATTTTAATACTGATCATTAGATTTCTCTCATTAAGACATTTTTAATAACACTAAGATTATCTAAATATAATTATTGGATATTTTAAAATTAGAACATATAGGATAATAAATTTGAAAAAAAATCCTATAATATGCAATTTTCTTCAGAATTTATATATAAATTTTATGCAAATTCTAATCTAAGTTATATAAGAGATTTTTGATTTTTATTACTAATATGAAGTTTAAGAATATTATTCAAGTTATAGTATTTATTAAATTATTTAAGAAAAAAAACATTATTGATAATATTATAAATAAATGATTATTTTACTTATGAATACTTAGATTACCTAAATATAATAAAAAATAAAAAAACACATTCATGTAAAAAAAGCTATTTATTCAAAAAATAGAACTATCTTAACTTTATAATTTATTCTTTAATTATAAATTATCAGTTATCAAAAGTTTTTTTTAATTATTTTAAAAATAAAAACATAAAATATACTATTATAAATAATAGATTATTAAAGTTGAATTTAAATTGATGAAATTATTATTTAAAGAAATTAATATTAAAAAGTATAATTTCTTATATTTAACAAATAATTTTTGATAAATTTTTATTATTATATATAAAGTTGCTTGTCTAAACTCATTTTGGATTTAACAAAATATCTAAACTATAATTTTGTTAATTTTTTACTAAAGTTTTAATATAATTTTGCATTTTTATAAGCTTTGATATAGTTTTATCTTTTTCAAAATTTTGCAGATTTTTTAATAAAGTTTTTGTTAAATTTACTATTTTTATTTAGATGATTTGCAAAATTTCTAAGTTTTATCTAGCAACCTTAACTATAGTTATTTTCTAATTCAATAAATAAATTTTTTTTTTTTTAAGATCTCTAACATTCTAACTTTTTCTTAAAATCAATAATTATATGTATTGATTATACTTTTTTATATAATCTCAAAAAATAATTTTACTATCAATATAATTTAAAGTTAAAATATATATAGATAATGTTTTTAATAATGAAATTATTATTCTTTTACTAAAAATTATCTAGACTTTATAGCGCTTCAATTTGATTCACATAATACATTTTTAAGTTTTTTTTATAAAATCCTTTTATTTTTATGCTTGTTTATCATTTTATTAAAAAATTATTTAAAATATCACCTATTTTTAATTTTATTAGTCTTAATATTTTCTTTAAATACTATTATATTTATAATTCTATTAGTTGATAAAATTATTTTTATTTAAAAATAATATTATTAATAATATACATCATATAGAAAGTTTGCTAAGAAAATAAGGCTTTAGGAATTTTTTAAAATTTTGTTTTATATTACATTTTAGTTTTTGATATTATTAGATTAAAATATAATAAGGTTTTAATTTTAGTTAAAAAAATTCTAAATGTCACATTTTTTTAGAAAATTTTCTATATGGATTCTTTACAATAAAAAAGAAAGAAACTACCAAAATCATTTTTTTTGAATTAATATTAAATCTGAACTTATTTTACTAAAAAAATTAATATTTATCTTATAAAATAAAAAAATTAATTTGGTAATTTTCTTCTTTTTTACTGCAAAGAATTTATATATATTTTTTTAAAATACTATAAATATTAAAGATTTTTAGAAATATTATCAATATTAGAAATAATTAAATAAATACATATCTTACTTTATTCTCATTAAATTTATATTTAAAATATAATAAAAATGATAAAAATTTCTATAATATTTGATTATGTCTTATAGTTCATTTTAAAATAATAATATTATTTAATAAGTGAAAGACTACATTTAATATCTTTTACTAATGCAGTTTTTTAAATTGATCATCTAAAATATTAGATTCTGTTAAAATACAATTTTATTTCTTTTCTCACTTTAATAAAAAAGATCATATCCTAATATCTTTATAATTTTATATATAATAAATTAAAAGACTAATTATTAATATATATAACTTACTTTTTTTTATATACTTGATATAAAAATTAATATAAAAGATTTAGATAAATAACTACTATCTTAAACTATAATTGAAAAAGCTTAATATTGCTTTAAATCTCAAGAAAAAAATATTTCTTCCTTTAAATATATTATTACTTTTAACAATATATCTTATCTTCTGAAATCTAATTTAATTAATATTATAAATATTAGTTAAATTTTTAATATTACAATGATTAATTTCTCTTCTATTTCTTTTCTTATTTAATTTTCTAAAAAATGATATACTTAATTTAGGTTAAGTTTAATTTCAAGATCAGTTTTTTATAGATTAGTCATAAATTAATTTTATAAAATTTTTATTATTTATATAAATAATTTTATTTAATTAATAAAGATTTTGTAGAACTATCACTTTAAAAAAATAAAATAAAAAAATTCTATTAATAAAAAATATTATAAAATACATTATAAAATATCTTAAAATATATAATTTTAATAATAGTTACATTACTTTAGTATAATTATATGATATAATTATAAATAAATATAATAATAATTTTACTTTTTAATAAAATTTAACTATTTAATTATAATTTTATTAATTATAATTTAATATTATAAAGTTATTAAATTTTATTATAAAAGAATACAGTCAACCCTTTTTATAATTACACTCTTAGACTTGAAAAAAATAATGTGATTATAAAATACTATATGATATGACTAAAAAAAAGTTTTTTTAATAAATTTATTAGCAATTTAGGCTAATGTAAGTATGCTTATAAAAGGTGTAACTATATATGAGTATGACTATAGAGAGAGTTAATTGTATATATATATTTATTATTATTAATAGTAATATAATTATTATTAATTATTCAAAATAGATATAAATATAATATAAAATTAAAGCTTAAATTTTTATATTTAATTGTTTTAATATTTTAATAATATTTATGAATAATTAGTTTTGTATATTTATTATTTCTTATTATTTATTTTTATTTTTGTATTTTAAAATTAAAAATTTAATATATAATTTATTTTATTTTAATAATAATAATCCTTTTATAAAATATATATATATTTTTAATTTATTAAATAATTTTATATAATTTAAATTAAAAATCTTATAAAATAAAAAATAATTACATTTAATTAAAATTAAATTTTATAAATTTAAATTATTATATATTAATAATTAATAAATCTTATTGTAAAAATTAGTATATGAATACTTTATTATAAAAAGAAAAAAAAAATTGATAAAAAATAAAAATAAAAAATACTTTATAAATATATTTTGATTTAGCATTAATTCAAAAAATTTTTTGTAAGAGTTATTTATTATATTTATTTAATATATATTATAATTGTAACTTAAATTTTATTTATTTTTTTTTTTAAATAAATTTTCAGTTAAAATTAAGCATTAAAGTTTTTAAATTTTTTAAATCTTAAGTAAACATGTTATTATATAAAAAAAAATCTTTAAATTTCATTTCATATTGTAATTTATTAATTATTTAAATTTTTAAATAATAATATGCAAACCAAAAACAATTAAATTAAATTGTTACTTTTTATCCCTATGACGTTAATACATTAAAATTATTTTTGAACTCATATGATAACTAATATATAATATATGAGACGTCTTTATTAAAATTATGTTTAATTTTATAATTCTGGAAAAAAAAAAGAAACTTTAAATTTTTGGTGTTACGTGTCGTACGAATTATTTGGAAAAAAAACCTCAAATTATACAGCACATATGATGGCTCAATTATAAAGCTTTGGTTTAAATACAAACTTAATTAGATACATTCGGTACATATTTTATCATACCAGTCACAGAATATATATATACAGTATATAATAAGGCTAAAGTAATTTCCGATATTAATTTAGTAAAATAATTGAATTACAAATTTGATTGGGATATGGGGACAACAGAACATAATGTGAGACAATGTCAAAATGCTTGGGGAATGGTAATTGTACAACACTATGTTGGAGGATATGAATTTCGAGAACAACCTTAATGTCATTAGAGCCCACTCGTCACCGCCTATTTTCCTAAAAAGATTAATCCGAGCGGCAAAATAAATGGTAAACCTAGCTAAAATGTCAAATCACATTTTTTTTTTCAAAATGTTTTGAATTGCTAAACGTCAAGAAATTATTAATAACGAAATGAACAACATAAAGAGAAACAAAAAACCGAAAATTCACTTTTTTTGGTGTATTTAAATCCTTTAATATGAACGATAGCAGAGAACAAAGGAAAAAAAAAGTCGCTTTGATATGATCTAGATTGCCATATTTTAACAATGCAATTCCGAGGGGAAAGGTAAAAGGCATTGTATTATATTGAAATGTACAAGAAATAAAAGTTTAAATCGGATTAGTATCATATAAATAAATAATTGAAATCCTCAATATTAAGATAATTTATACACTAAACGAACATGTGAAGAAAACTTAAAATATTAAACGATAATTAGTAAAAAAAAAAAAAAAATATGATTATTCAAAATTGACAGTCGGAGGATTTAGTTTCTTTATAGATTACTTTGGTTTCAGCAACTTTGCGACAATAATCTATCACTTCACGTATATTCAAATTAAAAGAAAATAATGATTTGATGACCTCTCTTAAATACACGTTTAAAATTTAAGATTTAAATTTCTGATGTGTTCATCAACTTCATTGAAGAAATTGTGGAACTTATTTCATAGTTCATGATAACGAATGTATGCACCCATCTAACAATAACCGAAAACAGATCATCTTAGCTGGAGACGCGAAAGAATTAGATTGTTGGTTTTATTGATATAAAGATCTAATTGGAGTAACCGTGTACATAAAATTTCTTCAGCCTATATTAAACGAAAAGAATGAAAGGACTTGATAAACATAAAATTCCCATTTATGTACCTTTTAATAAATAACCCGGTATTAAAAAGGGAGGTATTATTCCATGGTAATAATGCATGATAATCATAATATCATGGGTCGAGCGAGGTCTAGAACATGCCGATCAATTGACCGCGTTCAACAATCATATATGATTTAATTTTTCCGTATTAACTTTGTGTTTGTTATTTCAAGACAATAGAATCATTGTTTTGTTTGTTATTCATGAATCATCTTTAACTTTATTATTGGATGATAATTGGATGCACTTACACTTGAATGAAGTAGAAAGCCACCATGCACGCAAAATTCATGTTTTGGTCAAAATTATCATACGTTGGGCTTGAATTATTTGACAAATGTGTTGTGGTCACTGTGGCTCCCTGATATATTTTTATAGGGGTCTTTTTTTTTTTAAGCAGACCGAATTCCACATTGAATGAATGAATGCTAAATAGATGCTATGCATATGTCACAAACAAACAAACTTCCATAAAAGGAAAGTTTCGACATTTTTTTTCTGCACTTGAGAGTCTAGATCAAGTCTAGAACTATCGGCTGATTTTAATGTTCAAATTCTAAATACTTTCGCTCTAAATGAATTTGATTGACTTAAAAGGTTGACATAAATGGTTCGCGTTTTTCATCAATAACACAGGGTCGAATTTGGATTTTTCTGGTATCATTTTTTTTACCTCAATATAATTTTTGATTATTTTTTTTGGCTTTTCACTCTTTAAACACAATCTTTACAGAATTTGACATTTTTTGTTTGCAACTTTTTTTTTTTAAAACAAAAAAAAAAAAAAGAATTGAAATCTGCAACTTTCACACAATTTTAACTTGAGTTTAATAGCAAAAACTGGTAATTATTAATTAATTTCTTACCGAATAGCTCATTTATTATTTATTTATTTTTTTTTTGTTTTCTTTGAACAATCTCGATAACGTTTTTACTAAAAAAAATAAAAAATAAAAAAATAGCAAGCAACAAAGATAATGCCAATAAAAGAAATCGAGATGGCCACAACAAATCCAACGGAAGGTTCAAACCGAGCACGTGTAGTAGCTAATGTCGTAAGAGAAGCGTGTATAATAATGGGCTCACAAGGCCAAAATGACGCCTTGGAATCTGCTCGTCAGATGATTTTAAATAATAAATTACTTACTGAAGCAGAAAAAAATGCGGTGCTTGATTTGTTCCAGTCCAACCAGCCCAAGCAACCTTCTTCATCTTCATCTTCATCTTCCTCTTCTAAATGTTCTTCATGTATGTATATTAATGCACAAGCTGCTGAAATTATATCATTTTAGTGAATTCTTCAATAACATTAAATTTTTTTTTTTTTTAATGTCCAGAATCATTTCATTTACATCGTTATGTATATGAATATCCGTTGTATAATAAATAATTCCAACGAAATCCGACTCCGAATAATTTTCTTCAATGTTTATAACCGTTAAAAATTCATTAAAATTCGGACAATATATTGGTCAAAGATATATATAACTCACTATTATAACATTATATCGATCGAAATATTCCATTAAGGTATCACCTCAACGCGTCTTTCACCACGCCGTCTCAAACAATATATATAATATATAATATATGATATATGATATTTATAATATTTATCGGAAAAATTTTCTATTTTGTAACAGGGTTAAGAATTCTGATCATATTCTTTTGGGGTTATTTTATAATTTCTTTATTATTATGTTTTTTAAGTTAATTTGCTTTGTTTTCACCAATTATGTTTTAATTTTTCGTAAGTTTAGCAAAAACTACAAACCTTATATTTTATTTATTATGTTATAAATGTGATATGATTATGATAAAGACTATATTTTTTAATAAATAAAGTTACGCGTATATAGGAATTCACGATAAAATTTTGATTGTAACACAATCTGACAATCTGCAAACCGACAATCTTGACAATCTAAAGATCTAGAACCGTCTAAATAAGGAATCTTACAAATTAAAAACGTCCCGAGTTTTTTTTTTATCTTGGATAATTTTTTTTTCTTATTTTTAAAAAATTTGATTTGGAAGAAAAGTTTAGATATGCTTAATTTTTAATCATGCTTAATTTTTTTTAAATACTTAATTATTATTTCAAAATCTATATTCTACATAATATGAGTTTAAAAATATATATACTTAAATAATAAAGAATTCATATCATAAATATGTATATATTATATGGGGGTTGGGGGGATTTTTTTTCAATCTATAAATATTCTAAATATTCTAAATATACTATATTAAAATTTTTTTGTTATTTACAGCTTATCTTAAAACATATTTGATAAATTTAATAAAAAATTTTATTGTAAGAACCTGATGAATTTGGAAAAACCTCTAACCAATTTTCGTCCGAATCTAAAATTACAGAATCCGACAAGAAGGTAGAATATTCAAAGTTATCATCTGAATTATAACTTTCACTCGAAGAAAATGTGGGCGAAGTTACATTTGAAAATTGTCCTACTTTATCAAAACCATAGGGTAAGTTAGAGGAAAATATAATGTTCGATGTTGGAAATTGTAAAACCTCGTTGAAGTTATCAATCCGAACGTTTGGATTTTGTAGGGCTTCGTTTGAATTGTCGGTTAATTTTTTATTGTGAGGTGCAGGAACGGCAATTATAGGAACATCTTCACTTGGATCATTTTGATGCCAAACCATGATATTGGTCTCTTTTTTTGATGGTCTAATAGCGATGTAACCTCCTGGTGGATATGGCTCGTACCTATCCTTAGCCTTGAGAGCATTACGCTTTTTGGGCGTGGTAACGCGGTGGATCGTGGTGTCATACGTTGATTCAACAGAATCGCCGTGAGGTTGAAATTCAGTACAAAGCAAATCATTTAAATCATTTGACGTATTAAACTCTTCTAAAAATTGGGGGGATGGGATGGGCGTAGTAGAAACGGAAGGGTGTGAAAATCCGCATTGTATAATATTATTAAACACGCTATCATTGTGCATCTTAATAAATTTATCAAGTTCTTCCCAACATTGTCTTTTCTCCTCATCAGTTACGGTATCTG